CACATACATTCCACAGCGTTTGCGTGTGTGTGATATTTGAAGTCGTTATCTAAAGTGAAATCACCAAGGGAATGAATATTAACAAAAGAAGGAAGAGGCTGGAAAGATATTCTCACAAGTCACTGGTCAGGCAGATGCCAAGGAAGTCAAGGAAATGGGGAGAAACTAAAACAGCAGGCTCTGCAGGACGATGGGTAGATAGAGAGTCCTAGAAGAAGTTGTACTCTTGCTGGAAAGGGGTGAGGCAGAATGTGAAAAATTGCTGTAGATAGATGTGAAGTTTGGGAAAGTCAAATTTGTAGAAACTGTGGCCAAGCAGTGATTTCTATGACTAGTGGGTAGGAGAAACAAGATGTTGGTCAAGTAGTGCAAAATTCCAGTTATGAGTAAGTGCTGAATATCCAAGGTACAGCAAGGGTGGTGATGGAGATGTTAATTTGAATGTGGCAATCATTTCACAATGTACATGTAATATTAAATGATCACATTGTGTACCACTGAATATATATACTCTTACTAAATATTTTAAAAGATAAGACTATGACTGTCTATTGTGTTAGGGAACGTGGAACCTGTTGGCACTCTTCATAAAAGCAAACTGTGATGGGTAATCATGACTGTCGACTTGACTGGATCTACAATAACCTAGGATAAAAACTGCTACACTTATCTAGATTTTGATAATTGAGAGAGGAAGATCCACCTTAAATATTGGTGGTATCTTTCCACAGACTCAATGAAAAAAAGAACAGGGAACTGAGTCTTAACTCTCAAGTGTCTCTCTACTTCCTGTCTATAGAGACAGTATAACCAGAGGATGCGTGTTCCTGCAGCTATGACTTCCCTACCACAATGAACTGGAACCTGTAACTGTAAGCAAAAATAAAACCTTCTTTCCTTATTTTTTTTCTGATAATTTGTCACAACAATGAAAAAATAGTTGAAACACAGCCTAAGGTGGATGGGAGGGAAAAGCTGGTTTGAGACAGTATAGGCAGAGTGTGGGCATGTGAGGATAGGCCACAAATCAAAAACGTTGTAAGGAGAAATTCTACATGGCTAACTATCACTTATTGCCTACTTCTAGTCCTTCTAAACTCTGCCCATATTGACCCAGGAAGCCACCACTGACTAACCAGAGTATGCTATAGCCATACTAACTAACTATAGCCATATGCAGACTAACGCCAGCAGGGTTTGTTTGTTTGTTTTGGTAGCAATTGGTAAGTTTATTCTAATATTTATATAGAAATTCAAAGAACTTAGGATAGTCATAACAAATCTGAGAAATGACACATTTATTTACCTCCCATGATTTTAAAAACTGTAACATTGCAGAAAATAAAACATTAGTATTAAAGTAGAGAAATCATACAACTAAGAAACTCTGATAAACATGACAGAGTTTTGGTTGAAGATGTCAAAGCAGTTTTGTTAAGGACAGTCTCCCACAGACAGCACTGAGTTAGCTGGAGAGTCACTTAGCCTACCTCCCATCAGCCTCACAGAGAGCCCTGGGCATTAGGCTGTATATGAACTATTTTTTCATTGTTGTGACAAAATATCAAGAAAAAATTAAGGAAAGATTTTATTTTTGCTGACAGTTACAGGTTCCAGTTCATCGTGGTGGGGAAGTCATAGCTGCAGGAACACGCAACCTCTGGTTATACTGTCTCTACAGACAGCAGCTTTAGTTGACTTGATCTGGTTAAGTATGTGGATAGGTAATCATAGTTACTGAGTTCCTGAGGTGATAGTCATGTCATGCATGCCCAAAAGACAACATTTCAGTGCAGTCTCCTGCTTCCTACAGATTTTGCAATCTTTCTGCCTCCTTTTTGGAGATGAGCTCTGGCTGGTGGGGAGGGTAGTCAGAAATTTATCCATTAAGGTATGATCATTCAGTCTCTATTTTCAGCGTGTTCACCAATTATGTGCCTTTGTACTGTTACTTAATGAGAAAAGGAAGAGAAGCTCTCTGACCAAGGTTGGGAACAGCCCAGATCTGTGAGTAGAGAGATGAATATTTAGGAAGTAATTTGACAGCTTGACAATTTATCAAAGTAGCAATAGGAGGTTCTACCCTAGGACTTGTGGCCTTCTTAGCCATGGACTTTTGAGTAGGATTAGAGTAGCAGGCATGAATTTTCCTCCTATGGAGCAAACTTCAAATCCTATCAATTAGTTACCTCATAACAGATGCCACACTACTGCACCTTGGGCACATCTTGCCAGGCAGAGATGTATTGCAATATTCAGTGTCCAATTCTGGATAAGATCATTGATTTCCTTCCTCCCTCGGCACCCTTCCTTACATCTTCTGGAACTATGAAAACTAGGCTGATGATCACATTTCCTCAACAGTTTGAGATTGGTCCTCTGTCCTTCGACCTTTTGCGCCAGTGTCTTACAGTGTAGTCATGGTGCTAAGCAAGGCAAGTCACAATAGCCTGTACTGTTGTGAAGACCTCTGGAGGTATTCTGTGCCCTGTGCTGACGTTTTCATTTAACCACTCATGTATTCTGTGACTGACATTGGCCTCTCATCTTTGGCGATTATGTTCAAACTCTTTTCAAAATAAAGAATTCTTGCTCTTTGGGAAAAAAATATTAGGGTGCAAAGGTAAATTGCAGCCTGGGTAAAATATATTCAAGTTATTTACTGATAAAGGACATTCAAATTCAATAATAAGCCATAAAGTGGATAGAACATTTGGGTATAATTCACCAAAGATGAAAATAAATGAGAAAAAGAAAGGATTTTTTTGTCATCTATCATGAAGAACATGAAAATTAAAGCCAACATCCATATTAGATCATAATGTCAAAAACTTGAAAATCTGAGGGTATGAAATATTATCAAGATATGTAACAATCAGAGTAATTCTATAAGATGTAAAGTACCCAACCACACAGGAAACAGTTGGATAGTTTTTCCCAAGGTACAACACTATATGCATTTTGGCTTTCAACTTCCACTACAGAGATGAGCCCTGTGCCCACACACCTATTGTCCAGGTTCATTAACAGCCAAACATTGGAGGAGAGCCAAATGTCCATCAACCAGTGTATACATATGTGCTGACGAATTTTCTAATCAGGACTAATGATTTAGAAATGAGCATTTGATATATGCAATAGCATGTTTGGCTTTTGGAGCACTTGGGGGAAGTAGAAGAAACTGAGCAAGGAGGAATGCCCATTGCTTCGGCCTGGAGTGGAGGCTGTGTTGGGTGTGAGCTGGGCCAGGAGGGATGTTCTGTGTGTCAGGGAGTAACACTTGAGATTGGAGTGAGGGATTGAGTTTCCCCAGCTGTAACCAGCCTCTTCATCCCCACAGCTCAGCAGCCTGATCTCCCAGGACAAAGTGAAAGACTCTCCTCTGCTGCTTCTCTACGAGACCAGATCCATGGCCAGCCCTGGACCCCACTGTCTCCTTCCCTGCAAGAGGCCCGTGAATGCCAGCAGTTCTCACACTGGTATGCTAAACTGGACTAGGTGGACATGTGGTTTTTATGTTTTAAATTTCCTCTGCAATAGGGAAAACGTAGAGCACCAAAAATATTTTGTTAGTATAGAAAATAGTAATATTCTTAAGTTAATAGAATTGTTTTTACTCATATTCAACCCATCATTCTCTTTTCCCTTCCACACCCTCCTATTGCTACCTTTAACTTGAATAGTGCCCCACAGCCTTCCTGTTGTGTGTGAGAACGTGGTCCTGAGCCCAGCTCGTTTCACCAGCACAGCCTCCATCCATCCGTTTTCATTTGTGTGCCATCCTCTTGCTCTTTCTAACAAAGTGAGGCTTAGTGCGTATATGTGCATTTCTATATACACGGTCCAGATTTTAACCCAGAGTCACCTGACCCAAGCATTGTCAGTCACTTGGAAATTACTAAAATGCTTTGAAGGTGTATGCAGCTGACAAACTATATGGGGAGTATTTTGTCCTTTGTGAGTGCATTGTTCTCAACAAATGCACTTCCTTTTGGAAAGCCCAAGGAATTTCATTTGTGTACATCATATATACATACATATATATATATATATATTCACACACACACACACACACATATACACATATTGTGGTCTGAGCTTCTTCACAGAAGATACTTCTGGGGATTGGCGAAATACAGTTTAAAGGGATTTTATGAAACCTTTTGAGAACTTCAAACTTAAAGGAACAAAACTTTCTGCTGGGAAAGGAGAGACACAAGGGAACACAGGGAAGGATTTAAATTGTGTGGACCCCGGAAGCAGTGAAGATGCAAGTTGATGTGTGTGTTAACAGATGACTTTTTATCTTACTTGCTCGCCTAGATGAATGGGAATGTGTTTGAAAGCAAATTGCTTTAACACACATGGCTTTTGGAGTGAAGTAGGGACCCGGCCTCAGAAAAGCGAGAAGAGCCGTGTCTGTGTCAGACCCGTGGTTTCTTACTTGAAATGAATCGTTCCTTTCATGCCATAAACCCATCTGAAGCCTGGAGCCTGGAGATACACAGTAGCTTGTCCTGGAGAGACTGCTCAGCCCACAGCCAGCATGACACCAGAGGCCTCACCTGCTGCCTCCAGCACTTTGCAGAGTCCTCTTTGATGCTGCCAAAGTATATAGGGCACTGTGGCCATCTCAAGGTATTTTGGGAGTTTGTTTGGTTTACAACCAAATGCTCTAAGCACTGTAGAGACCTGGAAGTGAGACACCACCCTTCACCTGAACTGGACCAAAGTGGTCCCGGGGATGGAGCACTTTCTCTTTAAAGGCAAGACAGGCAGGAATTCCAGCTCAGCAGGAGAATATGCGTAGCTGGCTTAAGACCCTGGGTTCAAAGCCACAGTAGCAAAAAACTAACCTACCAACCAAAACCCAGGCAGTCTCCCTGCTTTCACCAGAGGCCTCATGTCTTGGGCTAAATGTTTCCTGTCTCTGTGGCCCTTAGAATGTGCCCAGCTTACTCTGTTAGGCTTCTTATGTAAATGAAAGAAAGAGAACAATGTTCTTTTTATTGCTCTTTTATTTTCGTGCTATCTAAATGTCAAGATCACCAGGCAAAATGTCTCCAGCCTTTTCTACCTTCCATTTCCAGTTGCGAATAGTAGCCTATGGTTGGGTGGAAATGGTAGTCTATGTTAGTGTGAAAACAGCATCCTTAAAACATAGTCTTAGCCTGACTTGTAGTAATCCCACACGCTTTGAAGAAGGGCATGGTGTCAGGGGCAGTCTACTTGTTTGTCTTCTTCTGTTGTGTTGGCGTGCCCTTGTCCTGAGTTTGGCCAGCTGTGGAATCAGAGTCTGATTCAGCCTTATTCTCTGCACAGCAGCAGTTGGGTTGATTGCAGCAAGGCGGAGGCTGCGGGCAGCATGTGCACTTTTTCGGGCAGCAGGAGCATTTCTGCGGGCAGCATGGGGGTTTTGGCGGACAGCTTGGGGATTTGGGTGGGCAGCTTGGTTTGGGTGGGCAGCACGGGGACTTGGGACAGCAAGGTGGTTTCTGCGGACAGCATGGTTTGGGTGGGCAACATGGTTTGGGTGGGCAGCAGGGAGGACTTGGCGGGCAGCACGGGTTGTTTTTTGATGGGTCACTCATCTTCTTTGTAGTTGAAGTTCCTAGAAAAAAGAATATTCGAATGACAAGCCTGCCTGGAGACCTGCTTTCATCAACACCTTGCTTGATCACCAACGCATCTGAATCCTCAGAGTGAAAACTAAGCCCTTGGTAAGTAGAACTGGACCTTTGAGAAGCCTCAGCTAGTCCCCAGCCCTGCCTTTGTGGGTATCCATGTGTCTGTTTCTCTCTAAGTAGCCATTTTCCAGGTAAAGAATGTAAAGTTTCAAATATGCAATAAATTTTCTTATAGCCTCTTAGTGAAGAGCAGAGAGACTCTTGGGATGACTGAGTCATGACATCAGGTTTACCTCATCTAGTGATGAGTACCAGTGTAAAGGGTGAGCTTTCTTTATACCACCTTAGGCGGGAAGACGACTGAAATTCAAACCTCTATCCTAGCAGTTTGCAAATGAATTTAAAATGGGTTCCATCTCACCCCAGATCTTGTGTATATTCAGATCTAAATGTATATATTCAAATCTAAAAGTTTCCAGGATCTTGGATACATTAGGATTTTCAGAGCCACCAACCATCACTCCCTTTTTCTGAATGTACTGGATCATTCCATGCCCCTTGACATACAAGCCATCAACTGCCAAGGGCTAGTGGCAGTAAGCAAACAGATAAGGCACTGTCCCAGGCATTGCAGGGCTGCAGTATAAGGCTTAGCTCTGGAACCACAGGTTCTGCTCACATTTCTGGGCTATTGTTTCTTTCCTAAGTGGACAGGGTCAGGGTGAGCAGAAGGAAACTAGACTTTGGAGAGGCCCTCAAACTCAATCATTCAAAACTTCTGCAATGTTCTTATTCCTTGGTGAATCATGAAGTCCCAAACAGCTCTGTTTTAGTAAACAGGCAGGCCTCCTACCAAGCAAGTTTCTCAGCAGGATTCGTAAGTCTACTTCCTATATGTGAGTCCTGTACATTCCCTGTGCTTTATATGGGATATTGATCAAAACCAGACATGTCTCCAGTACAGGACAGGTGAGAAAGTGACTAAGAGTCACAAGCAGAGACCAGGGCTATCCTGTAACCATGGAGGAACTATCTAAGAAAGCAGGATGGTTTATACACCCTTGATGTATACTCAGTTCACAAGATCATATATTGATGATGGGTAGATGCCAGGCTTATCAGAACCCTGTCACGCAGGGGGAGGACAGTGGATGTGGGAGTTGGAGCAGGGACTGCCTAGGTGAAGTTTCAGCCACCCTCCCAACACATGATACCCATGGGGATATTTAAAAACACATCTGACAAAAACTACCTTTGTAAATGCAGCCAGATGTTGATGTGTGTTTACATACATGCATATCTCCCTCTCTCTCTCTCTCTCTCTCTCTCTGTGTGTGTGTGTGTGTGTGTGTACATATGCGTGTATGCTCTTTTGTCATGGTGAACAAAGAAGGAAGTTATTTGAGACTTGTGACAGTGCCTGCCAGCTGGATCAAGTTGAGATTAAATAAATTTCTCATTAGGATTTGCATTTGGGTCCTGGGTGAGGACCTCTAATGGTGCCTGTTCTGCTGAGGCCTTGGTCTCCTGCAGTGAACCATTCCACCTAGGTCTATCCCACCCTTCCCATCCTTAGACTATCTTCTTGTTCTACTATACTGAAGTGTAGGGGCTCCTGGGGAGAGAAGCTACTAATTACTCACATCAGAGATTATCTTGGTTAGAAAGCCCCAGAAGAGGACAGAATTCCTGAGTTAGGTGGCTACTAAGGACACCTATAAGATGACCTATATTGCCATGAGAACCATTCTTTATGACGTCACAGCAGAGGCAGGGCTTTGGATGTCCTGGGGGATGGGTGGGTGTCTCTAGACTCATTCCTTTTCCTTCTGGGGATTGGACCTAAATCCTGTTTATACTTGACAAACTGGGTCCCAGTGAGTCTAGGTGTGGCTGCTGCCTCCACCCTGTGGAGACAGCGACTCTCTGGCTGACAAGCTGTTGCCCAGCCCCACCTGGCCCCTCTCAACTTTCTGATCTTCACTCTGCAGCTTTCACTATGGGAGAAAGGCACCTGGCTTAAGCCTAGGAGGATCTACTATATACTACTGGATGGAGTCTCTGGGGTGCTGTGGGCTTCCTGGCCCACAGGAAAGGGCCAGGAAGCAGGAGCAGGGAGGAAGATGTGGAAGGGAGGTGCTAACTTCAACTCTCCAGCTCCCACTGCCGGATTTCAGTCTTGCACGTCCTCAATGCTGGAGTTGAACTGTTCCCACTGGGAAGGGAGTGGCTTTGGGGACCAGGTCTTTAATTCTGTAACTATGCCTGCCGGTTATCTTAGGTTTCCTGTCTTTTGTAAGAAACTCCTATTTCTGTGTCAAGAGGAAGATCCTAGTGCAGCGTTTCTAAGGGGTAGTCATTCAATCCCTCCTCCTCCTCAAGAGATGCCACAAAGGGGCTGAGGTGGCAGATCTACCAAGCAGTGCCCAGACTTGCCAGGGATTGAGGTCAGCAGTGAGGAAACAACAGAAGATGACAGAGACGCTACATAACAATAGACACTAGGGCAGCCAGGCGGGGGGAGGAGTGTCTGGGTCTCTATCACCTTGGTTTAAAGCTATTTTATAGGAACTTACATGCTCTTGAGGCCATGGAGCCTTGGGCAGTGAGTTCTGAGGAGGGCATCTGTGGGAAGGCATCTACTCCTTTAAAGTCCTCAACCTGAGACCAGGCTCAGAGAGGAGGATTTGGCACCATTTTATTTTCTACTGCTTTCTTCTCTGAGGGTGACCTCCTCCTGCTCTGCCTCCTTGTCTCTACCTCTCTCCTTTGTCTTTCACTCTCTTTCCTCTAACCTGAAGCAGTGTACTGAAAGGGCAGTTCAGAGCCTTTGTGAATTTGGTAGTTCAGCTTCTTAGGATCCATCCAGGCAGTCGGTTTCTCATCCCCATACAGGGCCCTGAGCTCTGGTTTTCAGATAAACTCCACCCCTACCATGATTCCTGTGTTGGGTATGGAGAGGGAGTTCCCAGTATCAGAGGGGAACAAGCTAGGAGCCAGTCTAGTCCACTATGGCATAGGGAAGACAACGCTAAGTCTCTTAGTAGTCTTAACACACTAGGTACAGATTCTATCCCAAGCCAGCTCTGTTACCAACATCTTCTTGCCAACTGGTACAAGGAGTCTGTTATCCTCTTATTGGGTCTCTGACTGCCTTCATCCCTTCCTGAGGAGTGGTCTTCCTTTTATCCAGGCGCAGATTACATCCTTGAAGCCTTCTACCTCTAAAACATTGGTTACTACCCACTGCCTTGCCCTCAGAACAAGCTTCTTCCCTGCTCTATGCCTCTTCCTAGGTCTCCTGGAAGTCTGCCCAGTGTCTTAAAACCACGGCTCTGGCCCAGAGCCACTTTCTCAAGTCTTTCTGCTCTTCTGTTTCAGTGAGGATTGAACCGAATTCAAGTTTGTTAGGACCCTGGTAGGGCTGCCCTCTCGGGCCTCTGCCCACCAACCCCTCTCATTTCCAGGAACTGTTTTCTCAAGTTTCTTAGGCTGGCTCAAAGTGAATGGCTGCTGGAGTCTGCTCACTTCTTTTTAGCATTTTCGTATGGCTTCCCAGTCTAAAGAATCTTTCTCTAGTCTCTTTCCTAATGTCTCACTAAATACTAAATACTAAAGCTTGAGGTTCTTTGAAGAACCCCTCACTTTAATGAACTTCATCGACCATCAGCTCCGTCTGTTTCCTTAGAGCTTCCTGCAGCAAATGTTAACCTGTTAGCATTTGATAACAGTATCCGAGCTGACCGCTCTGTGTGCTTCATTAGCACAGATATCCTCATCTTTCTCGGTACTGTTCTAATATCTAAAATTCTGCATGACATTATGTGGGCCTCATTAATTAAGTGACGAGTGAAGGAGCAAGCCAGGGAGAAGACCCACAGGGCAAGGCTTGTGTGTATTACCTGATTTGGTCACACACTTCTTCCTCGGGCTCTTCTCAGTTCACCATTTCCATACTTGACTTCCGCTGTTAACTGTTGTTTCCTAGATGCGTTCAGCAGGTGAACAGATGGCTGGATCTTCCTCAGCAGCCCAGTGAGTCCATGACTGTCAGAAGCCAAAGCCTTCTGAACCAAGTTCCCCTCTTGCCTCTCTTCAAATCTGTAAGCTCCTCTATGACATCATAATTCTCTCCCCAAGACTCTATGACTCGTGGGCAGACTCACCTTTGCCCACCGCTGGCTAAAGTTATCTACCTCTGCTTGGCTGTTTTTGTCAAAGCAGGAAGTTCTTTAGCTGGTTCACAGCATCCCATCCCCCAAAACAAAAGTTAAAAGCACAAATTAGGTTGTCTAGTCTGACACACGTATCTTAAAAAGCAAGGTAGGTTACAGTATGGCAGGCTGACGGTCAGAAGCCCTTCTCAGAAAAAGCAATGTTTGCTGAGACTTGGTACATAGTCATAGGAAACGGGACGTGGGAGTGCATGGAAAAAGAGGCATTTCAGATCTGGTGAATGTAAAAACATTTGGAGTAGGAAATGGAAGAGGACCATTTAGCAGCAAAGCTCAATGTGGCAGGGTCAGAGCGAGGGGGAGGGGGGAGAGGTCGACAGCTCCTAAAGAAGACAAGCGGTGCTGATTTGAGTGTGAAAGAGTGGACTCAGGTTGTTTCCCCGAGGATAATGGGAGTCGCCGAGGACTTTACACCGAGGACACAAGTCTCCTCTTACTCACTTTGATATTCTTAGAATTCAACTCAGTAGCAAATTTTGAAGCCAAGTCCAGTTTCACTACCTAATGTAGGAGACAGTTGAGCTACATCCACTGTCCCTTCCACTACCCCAGTCTCTTTGAAGATAGTGCCAGGTGTCCAGAAGTAGGCCTGTCCTTTGCATATGCAAGGCACCAAGCCACAGGCCCTAAGGATGCTTCAATCCGCATCCTATCACAAGGATTGGCTCTCACCGTCTGTATCGTTCTCCTGATGGGTTTATCCTGAGCACCTTCCTTTACTCTGGCTCAGATGTCTCCCCAGAATACTATCTGATTGCTTACTTGTTAGTCTCATATAGATATTTAATACCTCTTATTTAATTAGCACCAATCTAAACCATGTTTTCCCAAACTAGCTTCACAGAATCAATACTATTAATTTCACTGTTCTCTACCAATCTGATAGGTTAAAATCTTCTTAAGAAGTTTGAGTTCCCATTAGTAAATAAGCTCTGTTCTGTTTTTATTTGATCTTTAATTATCATTTTTAAAGATTATTTATTTAGAGTTTTCATCCATCATGTTCTGACCCCAGTTTCCCCTCTCAGCCCCACTCTACCCCCCCACCCACCCAAATCCACACCTTTTCTTTCTTTCTCCCATTAGAAAAAGACAGGCATCTAAAAATGAAATAGAATAAAATAAAAAACAGAATAGGTCAAAACAAACAAGCAGAAGAAAAAGCCAAAAAAACATACAGATTGTATGGAAATGTGCTACAGTTGAAGCTTCTTAAAATGCATACATATATGAAAGAAAGCTGTTTAATCCCCCTGTTCCACTCTTTCTTACCCTCATCCACCCACTACTATATACTCTATTTCCCAGTCCTCGGGATGTCCTTCCCTCCTCTGTGCCCGAATCTCTTACTCTCTTTCTAACCTTTGTGGTTATATGGATTGTAGCCTGCTTATCAAAGACTTGACTGTTAATATCCACATATAAATAAGTACATATGACATTTGTCAGGGCCAGAGAAATGGCTCAGTGGTTAAGAGCACTGACTCTTCTTTCAGAGGAACTGGGTTCAATTCCCAACACCCACATGGTGGCTCACAATGCCTGCAATTCTACCTCCAGGGATTCTGATACCCTCACACACATACTGGCAAAATACCAATGCATATAAAATAAAAATAATAAATATTTGTCTTTTGGGACTGTGTTACCTCACTAGAGATGATTTTTCTATATCCATCCATTTACCTGTAAGTTTATGGTTTTGTTTAGCAACTCAGTAATATTCCATGTGCAAATGTACCACATTTGAAGGAACTCTGGACAGCTCAAATGTGGTGAGTATGACTCTGGCTGCCTTTGCCTTCTAAAAACCATTAGACTATATTTCTAAAGTTTCTAAAGTTAGGTGTTGGGAAGCTCCACCCAGTTCTGCTCCTTCCATTCCAGACTCCACCCTTGAGAAAGCCTGCCATCTGTGGGTCTACCTCTGGAGGACATTTAAAGCCCCTCCTCTTGGCTGTCTCAGGTGGTGGTGTGGTTTCTCTTCTTCCACTGGGACTACCCAAAAATGCTTTGCTCAGTTTAAACCTGGACTTAGTAATTTGGCCTGATCAGATTTATTGTATTGGTAGAGAGACTTAATAATGGGGTACAGAAACCTTTCACTAGCAACCAAAATCTATTTCCTTATTTGACCACTTCCTCCTCCTGAGGCTGACTATCAAGTATTGAAGTAAGCAATCAAATGCCCTCTTTTTCTCAACTAACTAACATGTCTTTTGCTCATCTAATTAACATGCTCATCTAATTAAAATTAAATGCTTCACCCAAACACAGAGTTTCTCCTTTTATCATTATAAACTTCCATTTTCCTATGGACCACACCTATCTTCATTCTATCCACAGGCAGGCTTTGTCCTTCCCCCTGAACAAACACCTCTCCTCCCTCTCCCTTGTTCCCTTCCACCTCTCCCTCATCCTCTACTTCTGTCTTTATCTCTAATTCTCTACCCTCTGTCCCTCTGGGGCAAATAAATCCTCTTTGTGCCGAAAACTTGGTCTTGGGGGTCCTGAGCTATTATTTTTCCTTTTAACACTTTCTTTACCCATTCATCCATTGTTAGACATCTAGACCCTTGCCAATTTCTCACTATTGTTGTTGTGAATTGTGAATAGAGCAGCAAAGAACATATGTGAGCAAATGTCTTTGAAGTAGGTTGAAGTAGAATATAAATCCTTTGGGTATATGCCCCAAGAGTAGTATAGTTGAATTCTGAGATGCATCTATTCTCAGCTTCCTGAGGAGCCAGCCCACTAATTTTCATAGTAGCTATACAAATTTTTACTCTGTCCAGCAATAGCTGTACTTACCCTACATTCTCACTAGCATGACCTGTCTTGTTTTATTGATCATGGCAATTCTTTTGGATATAAGATGAAATCTCAAAGTAGGTTTTGACTGCATTTCCCTGATGATTAAGGATACTGAATATTTTATTAAATGTTTCTCATTCATGTATATTTCATCTTTTCAGAACGTTTTGTTTAGATCTGTATCCCATTTTAAATTGGGTTACTAATTTTCTTAATGCCCACTTTTAGTTCATATATATATATATATATATTAATAGATATATATGAGAGAGAGAGAAAGAGAAGTTGTTGAAATTTTTTTCCACTTTGTACTATAGCCTGCTGCTTTGTCAGAGTGATGGTGTCTTTTGTCTTACAGAAGCTTTTTAGTTTCATGAGGCCCCATTTATTAGTTGCTGTTCTAAGTGCCTTTGCTCTCAGTGTCCTGTTCAGAAAGTAATTTTTTGTGTCAGTGAGTTTGAGACCTTTCCCCACTTACTCTTCTATCAGATTCAGTGTGTCTGACCTTCTGTTAAGGTCCTTGATACATTTTGAGTTGGATTTTGTGAAGGGTGATATATATGGATCCATTTGCACTCTTCTACAAGAGGACACCCAGTTGACTAGCGCCATTTTGTAAGGCGCTGTCTTTTATCTAGTATGGATTTTTGACTTCTTTAAAAAAAAACAAAAAACAAAACAAACCACGTGTCCATATGTGTGTGGACTTACATCTGGATTTTTAACTCGTTGCCATTAATTTATGTCTGCTTTTTACCTTTAATATTTTAATTTCTCTAAAATTTAACATAAAAACTTTTTCCAGATTTCTCACATTGCTCTAGTGTTTATAAATAGCTTTTCTTTTATTTTTAAAAAGGAAAACAAACTATCTTCTTTATTTTACATACTAATCCCAGTTTCCACTCCCTCCTCTATTCCCATTTCCTCCACTCCCCCCATACCATCCTCCATTCACTACTCAGAGAGGGTAAAATACATTGCTTTGGGGAAGGTTCATGGCCTTCCCTAATATATCTAGGCTGACCAAGGTATCCAACCAAAGAGAATAGGTTTTCCAAAAGCCAGTACAAGCAGTACAGATAAATTCTGGTGCCAATTCCAGTGGCCCCTCAGTCTGCTCCAGTCAAACTTCTGTCAGCCACGTTCAGAGGGACTAGTTTAGTCCTATGCTGGTTTCTTCCCTGTTGGGCTGGAGTTGGTGAGTTCCCATTAGCTCAGGTAGACTGTTTCAGTGGGTGTCCCCATCATGGTCTTGACTTCTTTGCTCACATTCTCCCTCACTTCACTGGACTCCTCCCACTCTTCAGCTGGACTTTGGGAGCTCAGCCCTGTGTTCTGATATGGGTCTTTGCCTCTGTTTCCATCAGTTGCGGGAAGAAGGTTTTATGGCAACATTTACAATATTTATCAATCTGACTATAGCACAAGGCCAGTTTGGGCCCCCTCTTCTATATTGCTTAGGGTCTTAGCTGGGGTCATCCTTGTGGATTCCTGGGAATTTCTTTAGTGTCAGGTTTCTTGCTCGCTCCATAATGACTCCCTCAATCAAAATATCTCTTTCCTTGCTCTTATCTCTGTCCTTCCTCCATTTTGACTATTCCATTCCGTCAAGTTCTCCTACTCCCTCCCATTCTCTCTTCCTTTTCCCCTTCTTCCCTCCCTTCTCCCACCACCCCCAAGCTCCCAATTTTGTCAAGAGATCTTTTCTATTTCCCCTTTTAAGGTAGATCTATATGTTTTTCTTAGGGTTCACCTTGTTACTTAGCTTCTCTAGGGTCATGGACTATAGGCTTTTTATTCTTTGCTTTACACCTGGTATCCACTTATAGATCCATATCTATCCCCATGCAGAAAATTCAAGTCCAAATGGATTAAAGACCTCAATATAAATCTGACCACACTGAACCTGATAGAAGAGAAAGTAGGAAGAAGTAGCTTTCAATGCATGGGCATAGGAGACCTCTTCCTAAATGTAACATCAGTAGCTCAGACACTGAGAGCAGCAATAAGTAAAGGGAACCTCCTGAAACTGAGTAGCTTCTATAA